TAAAATTTTACCAAAATTGGAAAATACAAAGGTTCACAAGCACGAAATGGCAATACCGCTCAACAATATTTGTATATTTGTCACTGGCATTTGTCATCAAGTGGCAAATCAGATATTTGGTCATTTGCGTAATTTTTATTTGGCTTATGTAGCAGCATTGCGTTCACACGATTTGGCCACCAGGGTTGTTTTTCATTTGCCACAAGAAGGCAAATATTTGGCTTTCCTGATAAATAACAAATGTAATTTAGCGTTCACATGATTTGTCTACGAATTTGACAAATTTTTAGCCAAATGTACAAATCGTGTGATCCCAGCTTAACACGTCACAAAATAAATTGGAGCTGACTTTTATCGCGCAGCATATCATTTATTGCACTCTTTAAGATCAAAGACAACTCTTAGTCATACATACAAATATATGTATGAATGAATGAATGAATAACTCCTTTATGCTGTCACATCTTGCACTGCAGCATAAACATACAAATGCACTTACATTTACATACATACATATACACTTTGAATGTATACTTGTGGGGGCGAGGGCGCTGTATAATACCAATATTTATTGCACTCATAGTTATGAATGACTTTGCTGACAGGCAGCAGTTGGGGGTGTGTTTTTAACTGGTGTCACATGTAAATATCTACATATGTACATATTTGGCTGGTTGTCTATGACTGACTGTCTGCCGACCGGGATGTTTGTTTGCATGTCATTTCGTATTCGATTACACACTCAATTATTCATAAAATATTTGTGTAAAAACAATTTCGTGAATATGCACATACTTTTTCATATATGTACATACATACCTACATACGCGTACATATGTATGTATGAATGCATGTTTTTCACACTAGATATTCATGTTTGTTTGTTGGCAAAAATTTAAATATTTGATTATTATCTCTCTGGATTATTAATTGAAATTGTAGTTTCCAAACAAAAATATACATATGTACATACATACATATATATATACATACATAGTTTGCTTTTACTTTCACTTATTAGACGCTGGGAAATCAATAGCCAATGGAGAATGAGTCAGTCAGGCGCTTAGCAAATAAAGAAACTACATATGAATGTATGTAAATACATTTGTATGAGCAATTTCACGTGAAGTGATCAAAGTGAAATTTTTTTTCCCCTTGGAGCATTAGAAGCATTCATAGTTGGTAATTTTTGTCATAACTCGTCCATATTTTTTATAATTTTTTTCTCTTATAGCATTGTCACTGACGTTTTTAGGGATAAATAGAGAAATAATCCATATATTCCAATATATCGATGGTCCTGTGCATTAACGGCACAACTCAAAATTTCATGGTTTTGAGTTATACAGCGGATTAGGTTTATAAATAACCATATTTTTCTGTGGGAAATCGATATATGCTTAGTTGTTACCAATCCGGCAGAGCCGCAGTTTTGCCATTTGTCACACAAAACCGAAGTAGGCAACCCTTACAA